TGGTGAGGTTAAAGTCTGGCTGGAGCTAGGTAGTGGCTGCGGATGAGGGCAAAATGTTAAACAGGAATAAAAACAATCAAACCAAAAATACTGCAGAATAGGTGATTTCTTTGCACCTGCAGGTTTTGTTTTTAAAATCTATACAAGACTGGAATAGAGTTGCATGATTTATTTTTTTTTTATAAAAGCTTTTGTCTTGGTGTGTATCCAAATATTTTTTCATTCAGAAACTTAAGTAAGTTTGCTTTGAAACATTTCTGGGTCTTGCATTCACTACATATTGCTTGAAATGAAATGAATTACTTAATAAAGGAATCATGTAAACTATATTTTACACACCCACACATTAATAGGCACTGTCACAGGACTGCGGATGTATTTGCTGGAAGTAAAATGAATGTTTTGCTTTTTGCAGCAGTTGCATTCTGCAGCAGTGTGCAATTTCAAACAACTCATGCATAATTACAGAGCTAATGATTCCTTTTCATGTGGCTGCAGCCTGTCCCAGGTGGGCTTTTGGAGCTGGCTGCTCGGAGGAGTGTCAGTGTGTGAAAGAGAACACGCTGGAATGCAACACCAGGAATGGGACGTGCACCTGCAAGCCTGGTTATCATGGCAAAAAGTGTCAGAAAGGTAAAACAGAAAGCCAGCTTCCCTGTGGCTGCATATTCCTCTGTCCTAGCATTACTTCTCATCCTTCTTCCCATCTGCTTTGCTCAGCTGCTGCTGCTACTGATATATTCGTATTCTACTAATTGTTGTCTCCATGGTTTTTCATACAGCAAGTGCCTGCTATCACAGGACTTGCAGGGACATCAAGGGGAATACAGCTTAAGAATGCAGGAGTTTTAGCCTGATCAAATGACAACAGAAACCTAGAAACCCAATTCTAATACAGCCCTAAGTAATGAAGATTGTGGGAGTTTTCACTTTTCTTCTTTCATTTTGCATCGCAGACGGTAAATAAGTGGCAAAACCTGTTTTGTGGCAGCAGGGTTATTTGTAAATGGTTTTGGTATTGCAACTTTTCCTTCAGGTTTCCAGGTCTTTGAATTCAACTTATGCTTTGTAGTTTTTGGGGTTAGTTCAAAGAGAATTGTATTCCACATTCATGTTTGTATGTCTCAGTAGTTCTCTCCAGACAGTAGTGGAATAACGCAATAAAGATTCTCCCTTCAGATTCTTCTCTGGGCAGGCAGGAACGTGTCGGATTTATGACACTAGTTCTGCAGGGTTTGGTGGAGAATAATAGTGACAGTATTTAATATCTTTAGCGTTTGGTGACGAGCTCGGTTCTGGGGGAGAGCATCCCTCACCCAGCACTGGCTTTGCACCAAGGCAGAGAGCAGCAGAAGGTACAGACAGATAAGAAGAGTAATTCTCTAACGGCTGTAATTGAATATATCCTTAAGTATTCTGCCACTGTGTTTCCGGGTTGTATTTAAGCAATAGCCTCTTTGAAACGTCCATGCAAGCGTTTGCACTTCGTTATCAGCACCTCTAAAATGTACATTATAATAGATTTTCTGTACATTTCTGCCAAATTCTTTTTTGGCTTTTGCTTAGCTTTCTCAGCTCTTCCTTTTTCTTACACATGTTCTGTACCTACTTGCATTTTGCAGAGTGCACGCCTGGCTTTTATGGGGCTGGCTGTAAACTGAGGTGCAACTGTCCTGCTGATGTTTCATGTGATCATGAGACAGGAGCCTGTAAACATCCATGTCCAGCTGGGTTTCATGGAGAAAAATGCCATTTATGTAGGTACTCACTGCATGTTTCCCTGGGAACTGTGGATGGGAGAGCTTGCTCAGGAAACTTATATGCAGAGATAAAAGTCACAAATTAAAGGCACATTTGTTGTTGATTTGTATCAACAACAATATTTGTATCAACTTGGCAGTTCCCCACTGAAGCCAAGCTGATATTTGGAGCCTGGCAACCCCTGTGTCACTCTGTTTGCAAAGGTTGAGGCACGAGGCTGAGGCCAGTTACTAAAACTAACATTTGTCCAGGTAACTATAATTCCTTTTAAAACTTCAGGCACAGATTTTCTAGAGCTCTGTTGCAGTTAATTACAGACCACCAGTTGCTGACATATGGGTGCTAACTGAGATCACTTGATACCAGCACAGCTCAGTCTAGAATTTCTCGTGGTGGTGCCTCCTGACCTTTTCAAAATGTTTCCTTATACTAATTGTGTCTTTGGGTTTCTTTTGAGCAGCTTGTGAGCCTGGGAGCTTTGGGGTGAGCTGCCAGCAGAGGTGCAGCTGTGGAGAAGCCCCATGTGATCCAAAGACAGGGCGGTGTATTTGCCCAGCTGGGAAGACTGGTGCTACGTGTGAGCAAGGTGTGTTAGGTGTTGGACTAGGACAGTGAGTGTCTTGCTTTAGAAGACATGATAAGACATGGAATTATCCTGTTTCCCAACAAAACTGCTGGAATGCAATAGGTTTCCATTGAAGAATGGGTAGAGGTTAAGTCTTGGTGCAGAACATATGCCATCCACCTTGTGGAATCCCTTGTAAAGGAGGGAGTGTGATCCAGTCCCCCTGCCCTGGCTCTCTGCTCCAGTTAACGGTAGTGATTTGCATGCTGGGCCAGGTCTATACATGTTGGGCAGTGATACCAGGGTGTTGCAGCAGCTCCGAGTCCCAGAGCAGAGCCTGGGACTGTGCTGCCATATGCACACAGTGTGCCTCAGGAACTGTTGAAAGGCCTCAGCCAAAGACAGCTCTTGTGGAACCAGCAAGTGCAGGACCTGGAACAGAAGGCGGCATTAAAAAGGAGAGCATTTTTGTGGGTAATTAAGTAAAGGGATGAAAAAAGGCTTAGGAACAGTGAGCTGCCAAGGGGCCATGGATGCCCCTCTTCTACTTGCAGAGCTCTGGCTATTGCATGCCTGAGGAGCATCTGCCCTGCTTGGACCTGAGCTGTGTGTGGCTCAGGTGCTCCACAGAGCAGGAACGTGGTGAAGGAGGTAGAGCTGAATGGAGACCTGGGCTCCACCTCACATTCCCCTGGACTGGATGACCATCCTGACCCCCACTCAGGCCAGCAAAAATACAGCAACAGCCCTCCCGTGGTGCATCTGTCTGCAGGTTACCATCCCCTGCAGGGGATGGTAAAAAAACAGATGTGCCATAATGGAAGTTGGAAGAGACCTTCTGAGTCTGTCTCTAGACATGTTCTCATGTGCTGCAGTACAGGGGTGTGGAGACTCTTGCAGAAGATTTACTGTGACAGCACTGTAGGTCTAGAGAGATGTAACAACCCTTTATCTGGCTTAGTTTTACTGTCATTTTTAAATTCTTCAGGGCAACAGCAGAAATCTATAACTGCCTTGAAACAGAAAATGGCACTGGGGACATCGCGTGTGTTTTTTTCCGTAGATTGCCCGCCCAGCCAGTGGGGACCAGACTGCCAGTCCTCCTGTGAGCCCTGTGCCAACGGAGGCCAGTGCAACAGAGAAACGGGAGCCTGCGACTGTCCTCCTGGCTACAGCGGGGCATCCTGCTCTGCATGTAAGTCCTCCCTCACATCAGCCTTCCCCGTGGAAAGAGAGGCAGTTCAAAAATTGACATGATGGTTTAATTTCTGCCTTCTTGCTCTTCTGTGAAATGCTCGTTACGTCAGACACACTGATTCAAGACAAAGTACCCTTTGGGTTCAGGAATTCCTCTGGTTGGATTTGACTTTATTTACCAGAGAGGGATTGTGGATAATTACAGATGACCGGCTAAACTGCATCCCAAATTGATGGTATTAGACCTCATTCATGGCAATATGCTTAACAGCCACAATACTTGCATTGGAATTCTGGTTGCTTGGTAAGAAGTGCTGACCAGTTGGCCCCTACGGCATCACTCTTGGGTGATGTTTGCAGCAATACTCCTTGATGTAGCTAACTTGGGATTAAACAGCAGTGAGGAAGGAAGTAGAAACAGTGCTATTGCTGCAGATCCACCAGAGGCCATGGGAATATGATCGAGCGACTGGTCTGAGCTACTGTGGCATGGCTTCTTACCCAGCCTGTGGGTATTAAAGGCTGCTTGGGTATGTCTGTGGCATAGACAGGTTCTCGGGGACAGCACTGCTTTGTGCAAGACCTCTGGGGTGGCATATTTATTTCTTCTTGTTAATCACAAAATCACTTGTGACAGAGGTTTGCTCAGCACTCTTTTTTTCTTCCTCTGATTGATCCTGATGCACAGGAGAAGTACCTAAAAGTCACTCAAGCTATCCATGCTTTACAGGACTCAGCCCTAGACGCCTCATATACAAATTACAGACGTTTCTTCCATTTTGCCAGTTTGCTGGATTCAGCTAATGCATGTTTTAGGGCACAAGCTGTTGCTGTCTTGTTTGAAAAGATCCGCCCGTGCTCAAGTTACTACCTAGGTGAAATTGCAGTCTGTTCATCTGGTTTCAGCTTGCCCCGATGGTTACTATGGACAAAACTGCCTGCTGTCATGCAGCTGTAGCAGCAGTGATCAGTGTCACCACATCACTGGAGAGTGCAGATGTCCCCCCGGCTGGACTGGCCATGACTGCAGACACCGTAAGTCAAACATATATTCACTCCACAGGGCACACGGCATCTCCCAGGGACTTTGCTGCCAGTGGAAGAACCAGCTCTGTTTGTTCTTAGTCTATTACAGTTTTTTAATATATTTTGCTAATCTTATTGCTTCTGAAACTGTGTGGGTTTGGGTTTGCACAGCTTGAGTGATTATAATCCTTAATTATCTAGGTTCAAAGTATTGAAATAGATGGCTGATGAAGCGCAAAGTATTGATATAAGCTCTTAGTTCAACACGATGGATCCCTTTGCCCAATACCATCTGTCCTGTCAGCGTTTTGACTGACAGACAGTTTTGGTTTTCAATTTCAGCACAGATTAGTTTCAAGAGTAATTCTCAATTTTTCATTTTGTTCAGGGGAGATTTATTCAACAAGTGAGTGGTATGTACAGTCATGTGTCTTAAGGTCACTTCTTAACTTGTGAATATAAATGCTGGAAGAAATTCTGTTCTCTGGCAGAGCAGAGCATCTTTCTGTTGACTTTAGCATCACTCTCCATATTGATGGCCGTGTAAGAGTGTGGATTTGCCCTTTATGGATAGCACCATATAAACGTTAACCCATCCTGCTTGATTCTTTGCTTTTCCTCTTTCAACTCTTTTCTGCTTGGTTCATTATGATCACGCTTGCAAAAAGCCAACAGAATACAAACCTCTTTCTCTAAACTTGGTCTCAGACCCATAAAATCATACAAATTAATTGCCAGTGTTGACAGCAGTTTTGGACCTGGTTTCTCAGACCTGGCACTGAAGAAGACTGTGGGAAAACATGAAACTTCCACCAATATCTGTATTTTAAATATCAAACCAGTTGGTAATGTGTGGAGCCATTTATATAGCTTTCCATAACTCCATAGGCTGTCTAAAGAGTTATGAGACCATGGCAAAGAAAAGCTTTTATTTCTAGCTGGGAAAAGGTATGAAACTTGTAGAGACATCTTAGTAAGGCAGGTCTTCAACTATTACAGATCAGGTATGAAGCAGATGCCCAAGTCCAAAACTAGGTTTCTGTTGCCCTAACTGGTACTTTCATCTTTACCTTTACAAGAAAAGGAGGAGATGCTGTGGTACATTGTCATAATCATGTCAATGTTGTGTGATTTTTCAAATGAAAGCACCAAGTTGCTTTAACAAAGACTGTGAGATTTCTCTGTCTGTGTCCGTGTTGCATTTCCCAGTATTTTGTGGAAAATATGAAGTGTGCTCACAGATCTATCCTGTGTTACCCACTAGCTATTCTGATTATGCAGATTTTTGCCAAGTGTCTCAATAGCTGGTATTTTGTTTCCATGCTTTTGGGACTGCAGATTGATTGATATAGATTGACTATGAATGATTAGTTTGATGTGGATGACATAATATCTGCCTATAGACCCCTACTTTCAGCTGAAAAAAAACAGCAAGGATTGTATTTATTTCCATTGACTTGTTTCCCATGCTGCAGCCGAGACTCTAGGACAGACCACCTGTATCTTAAAGTGCCATTTTGCATCTTTTCTTCTCTCTCGTGTAGATGTAAAATAACCTGTTAGCCGAGCTCCGAGCTGATTCTCCACGTAAACACCATTTTCCTTTGCAGCCTGCAGTGGTGGCCGCTGGGGCCCGGGCTGTGAAAACACTTGTGACTGCAGGAACAGCGACGGGAGCTGCGATCCCGTCACCGGCTCCTGCTTCTGCGAGCCAGGCTTCACTGGGCAACGCTGTGAATGGAGTAAGTTGCCACTTCCTCAGCGTGGGGAGTTTGTGAAACCAGAAATGGTTTTTCCTGCTAATTCCCTCCAGGCTGTGCCGCCTCCGGTCTGCCCAGCACATCGCGGGGCTCCTGGGTTTCATTGGGGTTAGATAGTTTCCCTACTTTGTATTCCAGAAAAGTTATTTTCAGACTTGTTTTAGTCTCACCAGCTATTCTTAATGGTAAGTCCTTGTGCGACTGATAGGATTGATGTATATTTGGCTCATGGCATAAAATTTTCCATATTGGTTTTATTTATCCAGTTTTAGGTCTGCACATTTTCTTCATAAATCTTTTTGTAAAGCCAGGCATATAGAAATGTTTCACATGTACGCAACAGGAGCAAAATCAGCAAGATTTAGGGTCCTCTATTAACAACAAGAATGTAGAATTGTCTTACCAGAGGCCCATGGTCTCCACTACTCTGTCTCTAACAGAGATCGATAGCAGGTCCCTTGGGAGGATTAAAACCAGTGTATAGATAGTTCCCAATACGTTTCCCCAAGTTTCATCAATTTGTCGCTCAGGAGCTTCTTGAAACAGAAGCAATATTTCTGTATTTAATACAATTTGATTTTTTTTTTCAAATTAATGTGTCTATTTCTTTTTTGATTCTGAGCAAATATTTGGTATCTGTGTCTCTTGTGGCAACAAGTTGCATAGTTAAGCTGCTGCTATTATTATTGATTATATTGATGTTGTTAACTAACATAAATATTTTACCTATTAGTTTAACAGTCTTACAGTAGCGCAGATGTAGCTACCAGAGTCTTGGTAGCATAGGCAGAATTAACTGCTGGTGTCACACAGAAATGTCAAAATAATTAATCTGGAATGGTGACCTAAGACAAAAACCCTGTAAAGTTATCTCACAGCTCTTGTTACTGTTGGCACAGGGGGAATGGAAGGACAGTTAGTGGAGAAGACCCTCTGCCAGCTACACTTCTCTTTCACTCTTGACCTTTCTCAAAACAGCATCTCTGCAGAGAGAAAGTAGCCAAATAGCTGGTTGTCGTCTTCTCTGGCAAGGTAATCAGTGAAGCCATTGCCACCCACGAAACTTCTGGCAACCATCAATGTTCTGTCTATGGTTGTTCTTTTTTATCATTTTATCATTTTATTTTGCTTGAATTTTACCCCACTTTAATGTTGTGTGTCTATATATATATGTACAAAAATGCCTATAGATGTGTGTATGCATGATTATGAAAGCCATAATTCTTCTGTAAATAATTTATGCCTCTTTGCGGGTGAGATCTTTACTACTCTGCTCTCGAGGCATCTCTAGCCTTTTGCTGCAGGTCGAGCTCTTCCCCTTCGTGGCTTTGCAGGCAGCTCAGGTTCTCCAGTGAATCTAGGATCTATCTCAGCATGCATTGCAGTAGCCTGCACCTTCTCAAGCAGAGGGCAGATTCTCTGTCGTGGGGACTGCAAAATCATTTGTGAAGTGTACTGACCCGTTGCTGTCACCTTGAAAGTCTCAGCTCCAGGCTAAATGCCATAGGTTTGAAGAAAGCTCAGCTGAGAGCCCCACACCTATTCCTGCACTGGAATACTGATTTCCTTGCATAGATTCTCTGGGCTCTGACTGAAATTTCAAGTGAAATGTAAACACTGAGCAGGATCAAGCTTTTAAGGCACAAGTGCACTTCTATGTATTTACGCATTGAACTAGAGCAGGAGGCCTGATGCACTGCAACTTTGAGAGTAGGAGGTGATGCAAATGGGATTTTGCACAAGTTCAACCCTAGGACTGAATTTCACCTCTAAGCGCAAAAAATACATTCAAATAGCCCCACATTTAAACAACAGACCATTTTCCAACACGGATGATCAAAAGCAAAGAAATATTTAAGATACCTTGCTATCCTTCTGTCTCCCATCCCAACCTATAGCCTCTACAAGAGGCCCAGAAGTTAGCTCCAGTTAGTAGAGAGTCACTAAGCTGCAGGAGCAACCAAATTCATACTGTCTCTGGTCACTGCCCACCTACAGTAACGAATAAGCAGCACCAAACCCCTTTACCTGGACATAAAATCATAGAATTATAGAATACCAGGTTGGAGGGGACCTCAAGGATCATCTGGTCCAACCTGAAATTGTCTTTGAGGTTCCTCATTTTCTGTTCTCTGCGATTCTTTCAAGATTACCTGAAAATCACTTTGTTGATTTAAATGCTAATATCATGTGCTTTTAAAAGAGATCTGGCAATAATCTACATAACTTATTTAGAGGGGAGTGCACAAGACCTTCAAACATGAGTAGAAGCCCTGTAATATTGTGTTCAGCCAAGTATATCTCCCTATTTCAGCCTGTCCAAAATATCTAATGTGAATTAGGCAACAGGCCTTATTCTTAATTGATTTTCCTATAATCCTGGAAGAAATTATTTTTGCTCCCAAGTGTTGTTTTCTTTCTTCTGATAGTAAGTAAGTACCATGCAAATCTTTTAAAACTCCTTTAACTGCTGTGGAAATGTACTTGTTAATCTATCCCCCAGATGTACTGTTTTCACTTGAATTTTTCAAAGCAGAGCCTGAAAGTAAAGCATGCAGCATCCAGTCTGAAACTTTCTGAAGGAAGCCACCACATTTTATATTTTCTCCAGCTTACTGGGGAAAGAGGATTTGCAGGGAAACAGAGGATAGGGCCTCAAAAGTAGGTGCAGAAGCTGGGAGCTTCCTCCTCCCCAGCTGATGAAGTCCCAGAGGAGATGTGCACATGAGGGACTCCTGTGCAAAGTGCCATCAAGAAGAACCTGTGAAGTCACAAGTTTTGCAGCTATCAGATAATACTCATTTTCTGTGCAGAACTGAATCTTGCAACACCCTGGCGTTTTTCTAAAATAGATCTTAGTAAAACCAGCCCAGTTTACCTGGGCCCCGAGGAGAACACGTGATCCCCTCAGTTTCAAGGCGCTACCATTACGCCTTGATTCTTCTTTTGCAAACAGTGAGAACTCCAGTGTACCAGAATCCCCCGTTGCTCCCTGTTCTGCTCCAGAACTAACCCATCATCTGGTTTTGATTCCTCCACTGCAGGATGCCCCAAGGGAAGCTTTGGCCCGAGCTGTGAGGGCAGCTGCCAGTGCCAGAATGGAGCTGCCTGTGACCACGTCAGCGGAGCCTGTACCTGCACGGCGGGCTGGACAGGAACCTTCTGTGGAAGAGGTACTGCTGTTCCCTCTGGTCCCTTTGGTCCCTTTCAGGTTTATGCAGATACTTTTTGGGGTGGCAGAAGATCTGCTTTTTACAGTTTAGAGCGACTCATCTGAATAAACCATTGAACTTAATTGGAAGATGAAACCAAAATGTGTGCTTACAACCTGTCTCAGCAAAACATTTCACCAGGTACCTGGCATTGGATGTGTTTTAATGTGGTTAAAAGTAGATACATGCTTAAGACTCATAGAATGATAGAGTAGTTTGGGTTAGAAGAGACCTTAAAGATTATCTAGTTCCGACCTCCTGCCATGGGCAGGGACACCTCCCACTAGACCAGGTTGCTCAAAGCCCCATCCAACCTTGCCTTCAACACTTCCAGGGATGGAGCATCCACAGCTTCCCTGGGCAGCCTGAGCCAGTGTCTCACCACCCTCACAGTGAAGAGTTTCTTCCCTACGTCTAACCTAAATCTAACCTTTCAGTTTGAAACCATTACCGTTGTCCTATCACTGTGCTCCCTGATGAAGAATTTCTCCCCATCTTTCCTGTAGGCCCCCTTTAAGTACTAGAAGGTTACTATAAGGCCTGCCTGGTCTTCTGCTATATCACATCTTTATGAAGACTCTCTTTAAGCAGTCCTCCCATTTGAACACTGAGCAGAAAGGTGCTGCCGTACTCTTGCTTGTTCCTAGTGCCTCTCTGAAACGTTTTAGAGAAAAACATGGATCTGCACATCATCCCAAAGGAGCTCTTTAAGAACAGATATACTTTTAACTTTAATAAAGGCAATAGATCATTTTCTATTACCTGATCATTTGATCAATTGTTGGAAAGGTTGAACCGGATTCCTAAGATACATTACTATGGGTCAGTCTCATTGGCATTGTCTAAGGAGGTTCCTGTCATGCTGCATCATTGTGCAGGTCATAAAAAATACAGTCTTGAAGGCAACAGAAACAGCACGTAGTCAGATATCCGGAAAGTTATTTAAGTGTAAATGAAGATTCTGCAAATGATGATCGTTAAACCCAAGTCACAATTATTTTGCTTAGGAAGCAGCTTTATCAGCTGGTTTGCAAGCAAGTGCAGCACTCGCAGGGAGCTGCTGCCCTCTGATGGGAAGGGAGCTGCTCCACAGCCTGAGCACTCTGAGGCAGAGCCATCTCCTGACTGCAGTTCAGATGCTGCTTCTTGTTCCCCTCTCCTTCTTACCAGAAACTATTACACAAAATAAATAGTCTTCTCAAGGTTCTGCTGCAAAGCATGCCTCATAATTTATTGTATCTCCACTCTGTCCCTTTTTAAAATCGTTTAGTTAAACTCAGTTTTTGTAAGTCTATCCTGTTTTATTATTTATTTTTTTTTTATTATTGGATAAGCAACACAGTAATCTGTGTTAATGTGGTGTAAACCTGTTCGTTGGAGCAGGAGTCAAAACGGAGACAAAAAAGCTAAATGTCCTCCAGTGTAGGTGTGAGGAATATGGGGAAGCCCAGGTGACATTTATTGAAAAAAAAATAACCAAAAATCCAACCAACCAAAATAAAATGTCTCAGCTTCTGTATCAGTCATGTTGGACATTTTTTGTCTTTTTAAATTCCTGAGAGGAGCCTGTGGACGGGAGAGTAGAACTGAGCGTTTCCTGTTTGTTTTCTATGTGTTTTCTCTCAAGCAGGCAGGATTCTGTGATTCTGTGATGTTTGCTCTGAGCTGACCCATGTTACCTTTTCACATTGAAAGTTTCAGCCAGAATGGTTTGGCTGCTTCCAGAAGAGGAAGGGAGAGGAAAATGTGTGGGTGGTTTGCCCTTGGTAGAACCTTCCTGGCAGCTCTGGGGAGCTATAGCACTTCTGTGCTTAGTGGCTCAGAGACTGGCAGAGTTTCTTTCTGGCAGGGATGTGCTTTTTGTCTCCTCTTGCCAATCCACCCACGTCAGCCAAGCTCTGCGCCTTGCAGACAAGAACGTGGAGATTGAGACCCAGTGTGGCTGAGTAGTCTTGGACTTCTCACTTACTCCTGGTGCTTCATCCCAGGACTGGGAAGAACTTTCCATCATCACAGAAATGTTGAAATGGAAACTTCTGCAGCCTTAGAAGTTCAAAGTCATAGGAAAAGGCAGTACCTTACAAAATCTAGTCTTGACTCATATTAATAATTAATATTAATATCACCCCTGCATATGGAGCATGTTTGAATCTGCGATCGTTGCTTGTGGCATTCTGCATTGTGGCAGCATGGGATCCAGAACCAAACCGAAATTGGCAAAGTCCCAAAATTTGCCTTTGGATTTCTTTTGGGATTAGTTTTCTTTTTTTCAGGAGGGAACAGGGTACTGCTCTTCCTTTTCATTAATTTACTACCATTAGTATGGAATAAGGCTTCATAGGTTTGCGTGCTAGTCCCTGTGGCAAAATGCCACTTTGGTGACCATTTCCAATTTCTTTATTTGCCACAAATTTCCATAATCTCTTCTTAGTGTTTATTAGTATTCTTAACGTAATCTTAGCCCTTGCTAAATCACAGCATTAGGCTTTTGTATTAATCTCTCTTTATGGTGAAGTTACCCAGGCTTACTCTGCCTCTGTGGGTGAGCACCAGCAACTGTGGAAAGCTCTTGGAGGGTTTATGGTACTATGGTCAAGAGAGCCAGTAGTTGTCATTTTGAGCAGTCATGTTACCAGCTGACTTACTACAGTGTCTTAACCAGTAACCACTATCATCCTCTGGTGAGGCAGCCAACTTAAAGGAAAAGCACCATCGTGTTTGAGGGTGCCATGGTGTTTGAGGCAGAGCTGATGCTTTAATCCTGTTTCAGTGTTAACTGAGTCAAGGCCAACCTTTCAGTTCTCTGGACTTGAATATTTTGGAGGTATGACCCAAGACCTTATATGTGATTCAGTGTTCTCTGAAAAGAGCATCAACAGTGGGGACAGCATGGTGACTCAGAAGATATTTGCAATGTTCAGTGCTAATATGTGTGTATCTACATATATCCCCCGCCAGTAATATAGATAATGACCAAAGCCACACCAGCACCCACCAGCACGGGACAGTTTCCAAGCTCACCAGCAGCAGGAGATACTGTTGCTCTGGGCTGCTGTTTCATGAGACCTTGCTGTGAATTATTCAGGAGTTGGCTGAACTTCTGTGCCCTCAGCCACAGGATGCTGCCAAGAGACCTCACACTTCAAAGTACTTTTGTCTGTCTATCAGCATCTCAGTTCTGAGTCAGCTTCAGTTCTTCATCTCCACCTGGTCTCATTCAGTCAGACTGCTGCCTCTTCAGCAGTGGTGTGATCACATAGAGTAGTAGTGGGTAAGAATAACGCTGTTGAGCCACTTTCTGAAAGAAAATGAGACATTTTTGAAGGCGATACATGCCCACTCCATCTTTCAGCTCTGCTTAGCCAGTTGGAAAAATGAACTGTGTGTGTCTTGTACATCTTTCAAAATACCTGCAGAAGGAGAACTGTTTCAGCTGCAAAGTAGCTGACATTTGCAAATAAGCCTAAAACCAAAGTAATCTACTAAGAAATGTTTGCAGGCCATCTGAACAACCTTGGAAGGGCTTCTTTTGCATTGTCTTGAAAGCAGCAAGGGTTACAAGAACACCTGAAGAAAGACTGCACAGTTCTTCACAAGGTCTAGCCTTACCCAAGGAAAATTAATCTTTTTCAGTGGTTCCTTGAGAATGATGCTCCTAGAAATGCCTCTAAATATCTTTCGTGTCTGAGAGGAGAATGTTACATGCCTGGATAGAAGGTACCTGAGGCACACATGGGGCTCTGGCTGCTCGTGAACTGAAGCAGGAATTAATGCCTCTACGTTCCTGGGTTGTTCAGTGATCACAGCAAGACCTGGCTTTGTAAGTCCTTTCTCTATCCTGTTAAAGCACAGACAATGTGAGTAGCATTTGCTCCCAGAAAAGATGCCTACTAGGATCACCCACTGCTGCAGGGCTTTGGTTTTAATGCACTTACAGATAAACAGGCAAGTGAAAAAACAAAACAAAAAACCCAAACCCAATCCCAAAACTCAAAAAAAAAAATCTTTCTTGTAATAAGTAGCTAAATATATCAGTGCTTTCTGCAAATAAATGGTAATATCTGACATGTGGGAAGCCTGGAGCATGGGCTTTGGATTTCAGGTAGCCCAACAGCCCAGGCAGCCGAGCCAAAGGAGTCGAGGTGTGCCTGTGTTGGTCGGGTGTGCTGGCAGCTCTGCTGCACACCGAGCGAGCTGGGTCACCCCGCTCTGCCCCGGGGCTGCTCTGCTCCCGCTTGTTACAAGCGGTTTCATTCGATTGTTAGAACTGTTTTCGTTCTGTGAAGTGCTGAGCATCTGCTGCTCCCGCTCTGAAGGCTGTGATTGTGTTCACTGCACCATAATTTTGTTTAATTTCGTTCCCTGCTGCTCTGGTATGTGTTGCATCACTCAAGGCATCCGGCCAGTTGCAGGATCAGGCCAACAGTAGAATTACCCAGTTCACTGCTTGATCTGACCAAACATCCCCAAATGCCACACAATTAGCCCAAAAACTGGAGGCAGCAGGAGTCTCAAACTTTCCTACAGCGTGTGTATTAACTGATGCATTAATAACAGCATCATACAGCCCTTGTGAAGTGTAGCACCCAAAGTGTGTATTTGAGCTGCTGTCTACCTACCTACTACTGCAGGGACAGACTGGCTGGGCTTCTCTCCTGGGGTGTCAGCAGTTAATCATCATCATGGATAGCCCAGCGAGACTTGTGTTTTAATGAAATAAAAGGGAAAAATAAATACCATGCACATCTAGGAATAGCTGACCATGCTGCGTAGTCCTTGCATGGAACAAAGGAAAACTTGCTCAGCGTTTGAAGTCACCTAGGGTTAAGCAGAAGTCCTTTCCTATATGCTGTGCCATACAAGCTGCTGAAGCATAATAAAGAAGGACATGAAGATTGAAACCACATGCTGATGGCTCTTCCTTACAGCTTGATAACAGCTCTTTCTCACTGCTGACAGAA